TTTATTATGTTTAATAAATTTAATAGAAACTATTTTGGAATTAATTGGGAATTAATTAATTCAAGGGGTTGATTATTAATTAGTTAAAAGTTAACTAATTGGAATATTCCATAAACCTTAAAGAGATAAGGGGTTCAACGAAATTTGCATTTATCCCACATGGGATGGAGGTGCAATTATGGTAAGGATCCAAGGCCTATAAATAGGGTGCTTATGATTTCATTCTGCTTTCTCATTTTCATTGAAATTTTGCCTCCTTCATTCCCCTCTCCATGGGAACGAAATTCTTAACCCTCATTAGGATTTGTTGGATTTTGATCCTCTTCTTAGTTATTTTTAATTCTCTCTTTGGTGTCTTGGTATGATACCATTAAAGGGGTTTTGGGTTAGGTCCTCTCATCAAAGCAAAGTTGAAGATGACAAGATCTGAAGCATGGAGATCAATGGATACATAAGAGGTATGTAATTCTTCTTTCTTTATGTTTTATTAGGGTAACAATAAAAGCATGAAACTTATATCCTTAGGGTACATGATCATATAAGATCGATGTTTTGGTCTGCTGCACATGATCTTGTATTTAGATGCATAGAAAACCTAACACTTTTATGAACTCTAAACACCATCAACATTTTTAGCCCAGCATCATCGCATGTTCACAATCTTCTTAATCCACCATAATATTTTCCACTTCATCATCACCGAACCACCATCTCACCATTTTCATCTTCTCTATATCCTATACCATCATCAACTTAACACATCTTCATCCCTCATCACTCGTCACCATCATCATCTATTCACCATCATACTGACACCACCATTAAACTCTTACCATCATCTTAAGAACACCAACTCAACACAACATCACTATCTTTACTCATGTTCACATCATTTCTGGTAATTTTTGGCCCCCAATTGCAGTACTAGAGATTATTTTGGATTTATCTTCATCGAGAGTTTATCACTACCTTCTTATAGAAATGGTATTGGAAATCCGACCCTGACTACCAACCATCATCGATTAGGTTGACCCCAAAAGTTGCTTTGTCTCTAAAACGATAACCCCATCCACCAACTACCGTCCTTTCTTGATTCAATTTCAGTGGGTGTTCAATTTGGGAGTTTGGTTCACGCCTGATTTAGAGATTTCATGAATAGTTTCAAGTTTGATTTGGGAATTTCACCATCACCGAATTATGGGTTTTGTGTTTTTTTCTGGATTTGATCATAAATGGGATGTTTTTTTATCATACATTAAGTTTGTTTATTGTTAAATTTTGACATCTATTTCTGATTGAATGATACACATTTAGTAGTGAAGAATTTGTGTAGCATTGGTGGTAGTAGAATGGATACAGGTGGTGGTGACATTATGAGTGTGGTGTGTTGATACGATGAACTCCAGGTGCATGCTTAGCTCTTTCACCCTGGAGGGTCTCGTCCAATAAGCGTTCGAGAATTCACTATGTGTAAGAATAACAATAACTAGGTCAGACAGTCATACCGAGGGCTGGACCCCGACATAGTTCTATGATGCCTAAGTTAGATTGCGACTTTTTGGTGTTGCTTTTGTGTTAAGGAATATGTGTTCTCCCTAACTTCCTCTCTGTTATCCTGTCTCTTAGGGGTATTTATAGATTTTTGTGGTTAGTAATGCCCATTTCTTAGACAGGTCTACGAGCGGTCGCACTTCCTGTCCTTTCCTTGCTTATTTTATTTGATTTTTACAGTTTGGCATATTTTATGGGAGACGATTTCGATGCTTGCATACTATGTATTCAAATTTATATTTTTTTGAAACAAGTGGCAATGCTTGTAGCGCCGACCTGGGGAGTACCGGGTCGATAGTGAGTTTCCTTGGACTACCGGCTTGGTACACTATTAAGCCCCCCAGTCTGAAGGGTAAAAGAATATTACTTAAATATTTTTTCCATTTAGACTTTTAAATCCGTATCGGGTACTATAAAATCATTAGCATGTTGTGCATTAAATGCTTGCGCCGTCGCACGTCATCTTTCTTGGTTTGATTATATTGCTCGTAATAAATGCTTTAATCGGTCCTTCTGATTACTTATCATGTAATCTTGATTGTTCTTGTAGAAACTTCCTTACATGCGCTCCCTTTGACTTTTCCATTACCGTGATTGGTATGGGTGACGACATGTCACACCCCCAAACCAGACGGCGGAAACGTCTGGGGGTGGAGGACTTCAATTGTAGTATCACAACAC